GGTTGTTTTTTGTTTGCTCACTTGCTTTTAGTTAATCTTGTATCTAGCCACTTCAGTGATGGTGTTTACCAGCTGTAGGAGTTCCCCTATAGGACTTTTGGGGTCATTTATGGATATTATCATATCATCTACAAATACCGATATTTTGACTTCTTCCTTTCCAACTTGTATTCCCTCATCTCCTTCCATTGTCTTATTGCTCTAGCTAATATTTCAAGTACTATATTGAATAAATATGGAAAGAGTGGACAGCCTGGTCTTGTTCCTGATTTCAGTGAAATTGCTTTGAGTGTCTCTCCACTTAATTTGATGCTGGCTATAGGCTTGTTATCATTGTCTTTATTATGTTTGGGTATATCTCTTGTATTGAACTGAAGATATTGAATATTTCAGAAGATGGAAAGCTCTCCTATACTCTTGGATTGGTAGGAGTAGAAAAATGGCCATTCTACCAAAAGCAATCTGTAGACTTGATGTAATCCCCACCAAATTCTAACACAATTCTTTACAGATCTTGAAAAGACAACTCTCAGCTTAATATGGAAAAGCAAAAGCTAGGTGTAGTAACGTACACCTTTAATCCCAGCACTCAGGAGATAGAGGCAAGCAGATCTCTGTGAGTTCTGAACACAAGTCCAGCCTGCTCCACACAGTGAGACACTGTCTTGAAAAGAAAAAAAAACAACAGGATAGCTAAAATAATACTGAATAATAAAAGAGCTATTGGAGGTATTACCTCCAGTACAACTGATTTCAAGTTGTACTACAGAGCTATAGTAGTAAAAAAAAAAAAAAAAAAAAAAAAAAACGCATGTTATTGGCACAAAAACAGACACGTTGATCAATGGAATTGAATTGAAGACCCAGACATAAACCCACACACCTATGGGCACCTGATTTTTAATAAAGCTGGAAGGACACAACGGAAAAAAGAAAGCATCTCGACAAATGGTGCTGGTCAAACTGGACGTCTGAATATAGGAGAATGCAAATAGACCCATATTTATCACCCAGCACGAACTCGGGTTTGTGGATCAAAAACCTCAACATAAATCAAGCCACGCTGAATCTGATTGAAGAAAAAGAGGAAGGTAGCCTTGAATGCATTGGCATAGGAGATGACTTTCTGTACAGAGCACCAATAGTGCAGGCACTAAGATCAACAACTAATAAATGAGACCTCATGAAACTTATAAGCTTCTCTAAGGCAAAGGACATTGTCAATAGCACAAAATGGCAGCCTACAGAATGGGAAAGGATTTTTACTAACTCCACATCTACTAGCGGGCTAATATATATATGTATATAGAAATTAGATATCAAAAAGCAATCTAATTAAAAAGTGGAGAGATGGCTCAGCGGTTAAGAGCATTGCCTGCTCTTCCAAAGGTCCTGAGTTCAATTCCCAGCAACCACATGGTGGCTCACAACCATTTGTAATGGGGTCTGGTGCCCTCTTCTGGCCTGCAGGCATACACAGACAGAATAATGTATACATAATAAATAAATAAATAAATATTTTTAAAAAAAGTGGAGTGCAGATCTAAATAGAGAATTCTCAACAGAGAATTCCAAATGGCTAAGAAAGTCTTAAAGAAATGTTCAGTATCCTTAGCCATCAGGGAAATGCAAATTAAAACTACCTTGAGATTGCATCTTACACCTGTCAGAATGGCTAAGATCAAAAGTACAAATGACAGCTTATGCTGCAGAGGATATGGTGCTATGGGAACATTCGTCCATTGCTGGTGGGAGTGCAAATTTGTACAGCCACTTTGGAAAACGAGATGGAAATTCCTTAGAAAAATAGGAATCCATCTACCCAAGATCCAGTATACCAAAGTTGACCATATACCCAAAGGACACTCAATTCTACCACAAGGACACTTGCTCAACTATGTTCACAGCAGCTTTATTTGTAATAGCCAGAAACTGGAAACAACCTAGGTGTTATTCAACCAAAAAATGGATGAAGAAAATGTGGTACACTTACACAATGGAGTATATCACTCAGCTATGTAAATAAAAAATGACATCATGAAATTTGTGGACAAATGAATGGAACAAACTATAAAAAGCATCCTGAGTGAGGTAACCCAGACCCAGAAAAACAAATACAGTTGTCCCACTGCCAAGGACAACATCCACACAGTACACTGAATACAGAGAGGTCAAGTTGGTGACTGCGTGGAGCCTTCACCCCTATGTTCTAGTCTCTCTGGCAAGAGAAGATAGATACTATGTAAGTTATGAAAAGAGAAACTGGACACAAACTCACTCACAAAACCTTCAAAGTGCAATCTGTGCTTGTGGTAGGGCAATGGTGGAGCAGATTGTGGGAGTGGCCAACCAATGCTTGGTTTAACTTGAGGCCATCAACATAACAAGGAGCCCATGCCCTAGCTGCCTGGATGACCAGGAAACAGACTGGATAGACCCAAGACTAGGGTAAAACCAAATACAACTGGCAAAAAAAGAAAAGAAAAAGAGAAAGGAAGGAAGGAGAGAAGGAAGGAAGGAAGGAAGGAAGGAAGGAAGGAAGGAAGGAAGGAAGGAAGGAAGGAAGGAAAATGAAATGATTGCTAATGATATTCTACTATACTCATAGATCAGTGCCTTGTCCCGTCATCATCAGAGGCTTCCTTTGGCAGCAGACGGAAACAGGTGCAGGGACCCACAGCCAGATATAATACGGAGAGTCTAAATTGGAGGTCTCTATTGGGCCCCTCCCCTAGAAAATCAGGGAACCCTATGGACGAGAGGGCGGAAAGACTGTAGAAGGGTGAGCAGAAAAACAAGGCCCACTGCCAAATCAACTGTGAGCTCCCACAAGCTCACAGAGACTGAACAGCAAGCACAGGGCCTGCAGGGGTCTGCATCAGGTCTTTCCATATATGCCATGGCTCTTAGCGTGGAGCTTTTGTGAGACAAACAGTAGGTGTGGCTATGTCTCTTTATTCTTTTGCCTGCTCTTTTAACTCTTCCTCCTATTGGGTTACCTTGTCTGCCATTTTTTTGAGGGCGTTTGCCTTGCCTTATTGTATCTCGTTTTGTCCTGTTTGGCTGTCATCTCTTGAAGGCCTGATCTTCTCTGAAGAGGAAACAGAGGGGAGTAGATCTGGGGGAGAGGGAAGGAGATGGAGCAGGAAGGAGTGGAGGGAGGAGAAACTGTGATCAGGATGTATTATCTGAATGAAGAATCTATTTTCATTTAAAAAAAATGTAAACCAGTAGCTGACATTTCTTTTTTTTTATTTTTTTTTAGTAGCTGACATTTCAATGCAAAGCAAATCACAGTTATACTACTCAGTAATGAAATGATAAACTTTAGAAAGAAGCAGGATAAAATTTAAATATCTCTTTACATGAAAAAGGATTAATGCAAAATGAATTTAAATACAAATATATACCACTAATAATATCTTAGGGAAAACAGAAGGAGAAAAAGCAATTTGAATAGTCTGCCCACACATCTTACCATGGTTTACAGGTAGGCTATACCTGACTTTGTACTTTTTCTATAATAAGCATCATGAAATTGTTATTTTTCTGAAACATAGCATTCTGGGAAACCTGAATCCATCCTCCTGGACATGCATGATCACTCATTTTAGGT